TGCACAGAGATGGAAAGATTCGACACTAGCCACTATGGAGGAATGGTTGGTGAGGTTGACAGATTTTGCAGAAATAGATAAATTGACTTCTTTGATTAGAGAAAAGACATTATCTACATTTATTGGTGACTGGAAACCTCTCATGGACTTTTTTACATAAAAATGAAAAAATGAACTTGTGATTTATAGGATAGATTATAGAAAGAAGAAGAAGATGATGTAACTTTAGAGAGAGAAATTAAAATATATTTGTACTTATAACTGCTGTGAAGAATATCGGAAGCCACTGGTTTTTTTCTTTCTTTTCTATTTTTCTTCAACTTTTTTTCTTTTCTTGCACTTTTTGCTTCTTCTTGAAGTTTCAATAAAAATTATATATAAAAAAATTCTGTCACCATGAAACAAGCCAGGCCAGATGAAAGGGTCTGGGTTTGCCCAGAAGCCCAATGAGCTTAAGAGAGGACCCAGGAGAGTCTCTGGGGAACTTTCTGCAGCCAGAAGGCTTTTGCCCATCAGCCACTCATGTCCCTTGTAGGAAGGCTGAGGGGAGGCAGCTGGCAGAAGGTTGCAGCTCAGGATCTCTGTGACAGCAATGCCAGGAGGGAGGGAGGGAGGAGAGGCTCGGAGGAGCAAGAGCCCAAACGAGTGAGTCCGTGTCCTCCAAGGGGTTATAGAACTTATCCCTGGGGCTCAAGGAATGGCATTCACTCTGAAGGACTCTGAATGAGCCAAGGATCATCCCCCCTCCAATGCCAGAACTGGATGGCCATCACTTTGACTCCTGGGCAGCTCTGCTGATCGAAGACACTCATTTCCTTCTCCCCCACAGCAGCAAATTCCCAAGGAACAGAAGGGTCAGTGGCAGCGTCACAGGGGCCTTGAGGACCATGTGCAGTTGGCAGGAAGACCTCCTTGCTGTTGGCTTGGTACTGAGGAGGTAGAAACGATAAAGATGTGGAGGTCCACACCGTGTGGCTGCCTGTTTAAAATGGGAACTACAGTTCCACTGTCAAAAATCAGGAGGAGTCTGGTAGCACCTTCTCAGGCAAACAAATGATTTTGGCTACCATAGACTAACACAGCTCTCCTCCTGCTGGTTCCAGTTAGTATAAACGCATGCCTCTCACTCCAAGGCCATGCAAGGATCTGAGCCGCAGCAACAGGAGCTCTGTGGAGCAGCCAGAAGAAAGGAGACGTCCTCCCACAACCCCTCCTGCACCAGCTCTGAAAAAGGAGAAGTACTGAGGGCGCTTAAGGAATAGAAAACAAAACTGCTAACAGCAGAGCAGGTCTGAGCAAATCGAAAGTCTGACCACACGTGTACAGACACGATGGCGTTTCTCAGTGGGGAAGTGCTCAGCTGGAACATGAGCAAAACTGGGAAGTGGGCTGAACTAATTTCTCAGAGCAGAAGAATTACAACATTTGGGGCTTTTCTGTTTCAGTTTATTTTTAAAAAGGGAAACATGACATACATTTATTAAATCATTCTCACTCCCAAGAAAATTGTGAGGGATTTTAATCTCGTTCTTATAATACCAGGATCGAGTGAGGATGAATAGTGAGAAATTCAGGGAAGTTTAAGCAAGTTATTTCTTGTACACAGCACAATTAAACTGAGGAACGTACAACTCCTAACGGTCACCAACTAGAACAGTGGGAGGGGGGGCTTCCAACAATGGCCACTAGTTGCTTGATCTGGCTGATCTGAGAAAACCAAACAAGGATGGTCCAGGTTAGTACTCGGATGGGAGACCACCAGAGAATCCCAGGGCCAAAGGTCAGGCTGGGAAGGGAGAAAACTTCCCAAAAGGAGGCAGTGGCAAACCGCTTCTGCACAGTTGCCAAGAACACCCCATAAGCGTGTCCTCGTGCTCCCCAGAGTTCAGCCTGGCAGCCTGTGGCGAATGCCGAAGGCCGGGAGAAGAGGCAGCGCAAAACCCTGCTGGTGCTGGAGGAACCCGAGGACCGGCTGGAGACGGGCCTTGGCCTGTGGCCGTGCAGCGCCAGCGCCTCCTCCTGCTCTCAGCCGCCGCTGAGGGATCCAGGCCAGGGAGAGGAATGGCTCTTGGGCGCTGGGGGCAGCCCCAGCCCTAGGGATGCAGACTTTTCCCCCACGAGGACAAGGAAGCAGCTGACGCTCCCCAGGCAGTATGGCTGCTGCTGCACAGAGAGCCAGACCTTCAGTGGCCACAGAGCGCCAGCTCTCCGCTGAGATGTGCCAAGGAGGCAGGACATCCCAGAGGCTCTGAAGGAGCTGCTTCCCTGCTCACTCGTCATCCAGCGTCCTTCCCTTCCAAGGGGGACATAAGTGCCAGGAAGTTCTGCCAGGCCTCCTGGTGCAAAACAGCCACCCCAGGAGAAAACTTCTTCTTTCACTCTCCCCTTCCTGTTTGGAGAGCGGCAGCTGCAGTGACAGGTGCGGGTTGGCTGAAGCCCTGTGCAGGCATTCTGCATATGCTCAGAGGCGCACATCATACCTTGGAGGCGCTACTCTTTTCAGTGTGGTCTGCTTCTGTCCCTGGGAGCCCCAGCACAACTGAGCCCCTCTGAGGCTCCGGCAACAGGGAGAGAGCAGAGCCCCTGCCGGGCCCAGGGCGACCTTCAGCGCTTGCGACCGTCCCCTCCCCTGACCCACAAGATGCTTTAAGAGGAAGGGGCCTCCTCGCTCCAGGGCCCCTCAGGGCGCTCGACCCGCCGAAAGGCGGATTCCAAAAGATTGGAAGCCGTTAAGAGACGCGCGGTCGTCCCCTTTTTCTAACAGGCTCGCGGCTTGGGTGCTGCACGGCCGCCAGCAGGGGGACGGACGGGGGACCGGCCCCGAATGGGGGCTGGCCGGTTCT